TGAGAGAGAGAAGAAAAGGAAGAGAAGTCAAGGGAGAGGGAAGGCGAGGGAGAGAGACGGCTAGGGAGAGAGAGGGAAGACGAGAGAGAGAATGTGAAAGAGAGAATAAATGAAAGAGAAATCGAGGGAGAGAGAAGGTGAGTGAGAGAGAAGGAAGACGAGAGAGAACATGAGAGAGAGAAGAAAAGGAAGAGAAGTCAAGGGAGAGGGAAGGCGAGGGAGAGAGACGGCTAGGGAGAGAGAGGGAAGACGAGAGAGAGAATGTGAGAGAGAGAATAAGTGAAAGAGAAGTCGAGGGAGAGAGAAGGTGAGTGAGAGAGAAGGAAGATGAGAGAGAGAATGTGAGAAAGAAGGAAAGAGAGAAGGTGAGGGAGGGAGAAGGCGTGGGAGGGAATGTGAGAAAGAAGAAAAGAGAAGGTGAGGGAGAGAGAAGTCGAGGGAGAGAGAAGGTGAGTGAGAGAGAAGGAAGATGAGAGAGAGAATGTGAGAAAGAAGGAAAGAGAGAAGGTGAGGGAGGGAGAAGGCGTGGGAGGGAATGTGAGAAAGAAGAAAAGAGAAGGTGAGGGAGAGAGAAGTCGAGGGAGAGAGAAGGCAAGGGAGAGAGAAGGAAGACGAGAGAGAACGTGAGAGAGAAGAAAAGGATGAGAAAGCGAAAGAGACAGGACGCGAGGGAGACAGAAGGAAGGTGAGGGAGAGAGGAGGAAGACGAGAGAGGAGGAAGACGAGAGAGAATGTGAGAGAGAGAAGAAAAAAGAGAACGCGAGGGAGTGAAGTTGAGGGAGAGAGAACGTGAGAGCAGGAACGAAAGAGGAGGTGAGGGAGAGAGGAGGCGAGGGAGAGAGAAGGAGGGCGAGAAAGAAAACGTGAGAGAAGAAAAGAAGGCGAGAGAGAGACAAGGTGAGGGAGAGATGAGGATGACGAGAGAGAGAACGAGAGAGAAGAAAAGAAAGAGAAGGCGAGGGAGAGAGAAGGAGAGGGAGAAGAAAAGAAAGAGAAGGCAAGGGAGAGAGAAGTCGCGGGAAAAAACGTGAGAGAGAGAAGAAATGAAGGAAGGCGAAGGAGAGAGAAGGCAGACGACAGAGAGAATGTGAGAGAGAGAAGAAAAGAAAGAGAAGGCGAGACAGAAGGTGAGGGAAAGCGGAAGGAGAGGGAGGGAGAGAGGGGTGGGAAGCAGAAGGAGAGGGAAGGCCAGCGAGGGATATAAAGCTGAAGGAAAGGGAGGGAGAGAGGCAAGGCGGGAGGGAGAGTGGGAAGGCGAGCGAGAGGAAAAGCAGAAGGAGAGGGAGGGAGAGAGGGGTGGGAAGCAGAAGGAGAGGGAAGGCCAGCGAGGGATATAAAGCTGAAGGAAAGGGAGGGAGAGAGGCAAGGCGGGAGGGAGAGTGGGAAGGCGAGCGAGAGGAAAAGCAGAAGGAGAGGGAGGGAGGGAAGGTGAGCGAGAGAGGGAAGGCAGAAGGAGAGGGAGGGAGAGGTGGAAGGCGAGGCAGAGAGGGAAAGAAGGAGGAGAGGGAGGGAGAGAGAGAAGGTGAGTGAGAGAGGGAAAGCAGAAGGAGAGGGAGGGAGAGAGGGAAGGCGGGAGGGAGAAAGGGAAGGCGAGCGAGAGAGGGAAAGGAGAAGGAGAGGGAGGGGGTGAGGGAAGGCAGGAGGGAGAGAGGGAAGGCGGGCAAGAGAGGAAAAGCAGAAGGAGAGGGAGGGAGAGAGGGATGGAAAGCAGAAGGAGAGGGAGGGGAGAGGAAAGGCAAGAGGGAGAGAGAGAAAACAGAAGGAGAGGGAGGGAGAGAGGGAAGGCAAGTGAGAGAGGGAAAGCAGGAGAGCGAAGGCGAGCGTGGGATAGAAAGAAGAAGGAGAGGGAGGGGGTGGGAGAAGGGAGGGAGAGAGGGAAGGCGAGGGAGAGAGGGAAAGCAGGAGGAGAGGGAGGGAGAGAGGGAAGGCGGGAGGAGAGGGAGGGAGAGAGGGAAGGCGGGGGGGGGAGAGGGGGGGGG